GTAGTAGAAAGGAAAAATAGGTCACTAGAGGAACTTGCTAGAACAATGTTAAATGAATCAAATGTTCCTAAATATTTTTGGGCTGACGCTGTAAGTACTGAATGTTATGTTTTAAATAGGATGCTTATTAGGCCAATTATAAAATCAACTACATATAAATTGTTAAATGGTAGAAAGCCTAATGTTTCTCATTTGAAAATATTTGGATGTAAATGCTTTGTGTTAAATAATGGAAAGGACAACTTAGGAAAATTTGACTCAAAAGCTGATGAGGGCATTTTCTTAGGTTATTCATTAACTAGCAAAACTTATAGAGTGTTTAATAGAAGAACTTTAAATGTTGAAGAATCTGTACATGTTACTTTTGATGAAATTATAGACCTTAGGGGAAATCCTCTTGAGTCAAATAAAGAACTTGCAGGTGATTATGAGTACATAAGAGAGGCTCTTGATGAATTGTATTTGGAAGAAAATGAGCCTTCTCAACCAACTGAATTAGCAAAATATTATTGGTGATATCTCAAAAGGGGTAAGAACTAGAAATATGACTAATTTCTGCATGTTTGTAGCTTTTGTTTCACAGATAGAACCCAAAAGTGTTGAAGAAGCGCTTAAAGATGACCAATGGTGCATAGCAATGCAAGAAGAACTTAATCAGTTTGAAAGGAATCAAGTCTGGGAATTAATTCCAAGAGAAAAATCACATCAAGTAATTGGAACTAAATGGGTATTTAGAAACAAACTTCATGAAGATAGAAATATAACAAAGAATAAAGCCAGACTTGTTGCCAAAGGTTACTGTCAGGAGGAAGGTATTGATTATGATGAAACTTATGCTCTTGTTGCCAGGTTAGAGGTTATACGCCTACTTCTTGCTTATGCATCATTGGTGAAATTTAAATTATATCAAATGGATGTTAAAAGTGCATTTTTGAATGGGTTTATCAAAGAAGAAGTATATGTGGAACAACCCCCTGGATTTGAAGATTTTAATTATCCAAATCATATTTTTAAATTGAAGAAAGCATTATATGGTTTAAAACAAGCTCCTAGGTCTTGGTATGAAAGATTAAGTAGTTTTCTAACATCAAATGATTTTTCTAGAGGAAAAATTGATTCTACTTTGTTTATAAAGAAAGTAAAAGAACATATCCTATTAGTTCAAGTATATGTTGATGATATCATTTTTGGATCAACTGATAATTCTTTGTGTGTAGAATTTGCAAAGATAATGCAGGGAGATTTGGAAATGTCAATGATGGGAGAATTAACATTCTTCCTTGGACTTCAAATCAAACAACTTAAAGATGGAATTTTTGTCTCTCAAACCAAATACTGCAAAGAGATTCTCAAGAAGTTTGGAATGGACACTTCAAAGGAAGCTAACACACCCATGGGAACTTCATGCTATTTAGATAAGGATGAATCAGGTTTGGAAATTAATCAATCTATGTATAGAGGTATGATAGGTTCACTGTTATACTTAACTGCAAGTAGACCTAATATTATGCATTCTGTGTTGTGTGTGTGCTAGATTTCAAGCATGTCCAAAAGAATCTCATTTAACTGCAGCAAAAAGAATTTAAAAATATTTAAAAGGAACTACAGGTTTTGGTTTATGGTATCCATCTGAAGCTTCTCCTAGTTTAATAGGTTATTCTGATGCTGATTATGGTGGATGTAAAATAGATAGAAAGAGTACTAGTGGAACATGTCATTTGTTAGGATCATCATTAGTGTCTTGGAATTCTAAGGAACAAGCATGTGTTGCTTTATCCACTACTGAAGCTGAATATATTGCTGCTGGTAATTGTTGTGCTCAAATTTTATGGATGAAGCAACAATTAGAAGACTATAGTATCTTTCTAAGTGATATTCCATTGATGTGTGATAAGACAAGTGCAATAAATCTTACTAAGAATCCAATATTGCACTCTAGAACTAAGCATATAGAGATTAGACATCACTTCTTAAGAGATCATATTAGCAAAGGAAACTGTAAAATTGAATATGTCGATACAAAGCATCAATTAGCAGATATTTTTACTAAACCTCTTCCCAATGATAGATTCTATGATCTTAGAAGAGACTTAGGGATATTAGAAATAGCTTAAATTCTACTTAATTAAACAGTAATTGGATTGTTGTAATGTTATAATCAATTATGTAGGGTATTAATAGATTATCACGTGTCTAAACCTCAAAAATTTGATGATCTCTCTGGAATAATCGATTATTTGAAGCAATAATCGATTATCTACACTTAAATGTCCAAAATATGAAGTTACTCTCTAGAATAATCAATTATTTCAAGTTTTAATCAATTAACTATTGATTTAATCGATTAATAGGGTGATTTAATCGATTAAATGGGTTTGTTGTTGGTTTAATCGATTATTTCAAGTTTTAATCGATTAAACTGGGCAGTTTTTGTGAACTAGCCGTTTTCAACGGCTCTTTTGGCTCCTCTTCACTCCCAAATGACCGTTTATGACCATTGCACATGTTGTTTATATATAGGAAGCCTTCATTTCACTTCTCCACACCTCAAACTCTTGAATCCAAGCATTCTAGCATCATTCAAGCCTTCTTGTCTTCTCCTAACCTCACTTGTCTTCCAAAACTCTCTTGTTTTTCTTCTAATCCTAAAATGGCCTCATCTTCTCGTGCTAAAATTCCCACAAGAAGAAGATTTTCTCCTGCCTCTCATCCCCGTCCTAGTTCTGTCGAAGGATAGATCTCAGATGATGAGGGTCGTCAGGAATTTCTCACCTTCTGGAAGGAACGAGGTATCATTACTCCAAAATTCATTATTGGTGATCAATTCATCAATAGAGGATTCAATTTTCCCAATCTTCTTGAAATTCAAGGAGTCCTCCCTTTTGTTGAACATTCAAGGACTTGATGCTGCACTTGATAGACATGAAGATTGTTGATTTTGATGATGATTCAAGAACACAAAGACTTAGAGTGTTGAAGACTTGTTTTGTATTGTAATAACTCTGTTTCAATTAGATTGAGTCTGTAATATTAGAGTTTAAGATATCCAGTACATAGTCTGCACCTTAGAAGCTTCAAAAAGCTCAAATTTATCATCCAGGCTCGGCTTTAATCGATTAAATAGGGAAATAATCGATTAAAACAGTGAGAAAAATCATTTTCTGTAAAAACTCACTGGTTTAATCGATTAAACAAACTTTTAATCAATTATCAGGCGTGTCACCGCCGTCTGTTCCGACGTCCAGGGACATCTCGAACGTTTATGCGAGCGGTCACGAAAAGATGGTTTAGACTCGCGTTTTTTGTTAAAATTATGTTCATTGCTTCCGAGGTGCTCAACAACTGAACTATCCTCTAATAGAAGCAAGGTTTTCGAAAAAAGGGGTTCTTTTGGAGTCGCCACCAATGTTTTGACCTTAAACATTGGAAAAGGAAAAAAGACGTTGATTTTATTAAAAACCAAACTTGGCCATTATAACCAGAGTTAGGTAAGGGAGTTAGTTACGTGTGGGGAAGGTGTTAGCACCCCACAACGCCCCTTTCGGGTTCCCTATGACGGATTAATTCATTTGAGTAAAGATTACGAGAAATTACGCGATTACCCTATTTTATTGCATAATGTTAAAAATGGCTATCTACATGATTTTAGTTAACATTACGTACAGAAAGCAATAAATAAAGCAGTAAAGGAGGAGAGAATTGAACAGAACCTCCGTAGCAAGCTTTATATTGCAAATCTTTGATCGCAAGGATGCGTTTTGGCAATCCTTCACTCTACAAAGACTCTCCTCTCCAAATACAAGATCGACTCGACTCGATTTTACAGAAGAATCGAATGCTGGAATATGATTCCTTAATTGATTGTTACCTTATCAAGGCAATCAGAGAGTTCATTCGAAGAGGGAAGAGGATAGACAAGTACTAGGAGTTGTCTGGTGTATCAAACAGTGGCAAATGAGCTTCCAATTTATAGTTTTCGCTACCTGCACACTTGGGACGCGCGTCTGGGTTGGGATGGCCATCCCAACTGCATGTTTTACAAAGGCTGGGACGCCCTGGGGAGCTGGGACTGGCAGTCCCACTTGGGACGCCCGTCCCAATTGGCCAGGGAAGGTTGGGATGGCCATCTCAACCTGTTTTGGCCAACTTTTGTGTTCTAGGACCCCTGGGAAGCTTTCCTTTATGTATTCGGACGTTGTTTGATGCCGATAAACGCCCCACTACTAGAAAATATACTTTCAACGTCGCTGTTTAACGTCGATTACATCTTAGCCAACGTTGAACATGATTTCAACGTCGGTTGGTCAAAAACCGACGTCGAAAGTCGAATTTTGACACATTCTACGTCGTTTTAGCATGAACGACGTGGAAAATTGGGCTTTCAACGTCGGTTAAGCCCTTACCCGATGTTGAAAACCATGCTGAACTCATTATGACCGATCAGAATACAAATATGACCGATCAGAATCAAATGTGATCGATCAGATTTTATTTATGATCGATCAGAAGTTTTTCAATCGATTAAAAACACGTTTCAATCGATTAAAATGTCTTAAAGGGTCAGAATTACGTGGAAAGTAGGCTTTCAACGTCAGTTATGCCCTCACCCGACGTTGAAAACCCTTCTAAACTCATTATGACCGATCAGAATACAAATATGACCGATCAGAATCAAATGTGATCGATCAAATTTTATTTATGATCGATCAGAAGTTTTTCAATCGATTAAAAACACGTTTCAATCGATTAAAATGTCTTAAAGGGTCAGAATTACGTGGAAAGTAGGCTTTCAACGTCGGTTATGCCCTCACCCGACGTTGAAAACCCTTCTGAACTCATTATGATCGATCAGAATACATATATGACAGATCATAATTGAAGTGCAGATGTGATAGTGGTTCCTTCTAAATCGCTCTTCAAAGTGTGAATAGAATAGCGGTTTACTGTGGAACCGCTATCTAAAGTCAATTATTTCAAAATATAATCGATCATTGGGAATTTTAATCGATCATAACGATTAAAAGTGCAGATATGATTACTAGCATAAGTGATGCCTTCCCAAGGCAAGGTCTGGTCTCTTCGGGACCCTTAAACTCGAGGGTTGGATAAGCAAATCTGGCCAAAAGAATCACTATATTTCGATTGAAGCTCTGCCGCGGTGACCCAATTCTCATATACAGATAAGCGATAATGCCCTTTCTGACACGGCTGCGTCCTGACGAATGCCAAACTTCGTAGCTCAGCTCATCTGGAATGACCAAGCTCCAGGGAGGTTTTATTGATGACATGGCGGGCTCCAAGCTACACCCTTCTCTGCTACCAAATCATAGATCTTCCAGAGAAGACAAAAGCGAATAGACCGTTCCCTGCCCTCCCTGCTCTTCAAAGTGTGAATATAATAGCGGTTTACTGTGGAACCGCTATCTAAAATCAATTATTTGAAAATATAATCGATTATTGGAAAATTTAATCGATCATAACGGAGATATGATAGTGGTTCCTCCTCAACCGCTCTTCAAAGTTAGCATATAATAGCGGTTAACCGTGGAACCGCTATGTAAAGTCAAAAATAATCGATTATTTGGGCAATTTAATCGATCATAATGATTAATATGATAGCGGTTCCTCCTAAACCGCTCTTCAAAGTGAGAATATAATAGCGGTTTAGTGTAGAACCGCTATCTAAAGGTCTTTCAACGTCTGGTGTAATTATAAACGACGTGGAAAACCCATATACATGCATGCATCTCTAACATTTTTGTATCTCCCCTGCATCTCCAACATTTTTGTATCTCCCCTTACTCTCGAGCATCGCGGCCACCACCTAGCACATTTTTGTATCTCCCCTGCATCTCTAACATTTTTGTATCTCCCCTTACTCTCGAGCATCGCGGCCACCACCTAGCACCCTCATTTGGACGCCAGCCGCACTGCAGCCTCGACCTACACCCTACCGTAGCCTCCACCTCCACCCCACCGCACCCTCCAGCCCACCGCGACGCTAGTCGCCCAACCTCCACCCCCACCGCAGCCTCCGCCCGCACTGCATTGTCCACCTCTAGCCCACCACAGCCTCGACCCTAACGGCACACTGCATCCTCCACCTCCACCCCACTGCAGCGTCGACCCTAACACTGCTCTCTTTCTCTGTGGTTCGCACTTTCATTGTTGCCTTAACCCACAGGTACGATGTTCTTGCACTTATATTTGTTGGGCAAAAAGTTTAAGTAATAAAATTTTACTTACTACAATTCATAGGTAGAGATTCTTAGTCATGTTATTGTTGGCCGTTAACTCGTTGCTTTAATTGTTTATACGTTTTGTCCCCATAAAATAGTGATTAGTCTGTAAGTTTCAGCTCATTCCGAGTCAAGTGAAGACAAATAATGATACAGTTTTAAAATTAAGATGAATATAGTTTTTTTCAATGTATTGATGATGTGTACAATTATACTTGGACTCGCTTGAATATGCCCAAGGGGCTTTTTATTGGCAGTTCATCGTGTCATTTAAAATTGTTGCCAAAAAACAAAGGAAACTCTGTCGGATTTTGGTTAGAAATTAAGCATGAAGTGTGAATTATGGAAACTACGTATAACATGGAAACTACATATAACAATGTAGTTATATAAGTGATGGTACGTAGTAACAATGTAGTTTTATTGGTTTCTCATTTGTAGAATCCAATTCCAAAATGGATCGAAGTTGGGTAAATGCAAGTCGTATTTCACAAGAGTATGAGAATGGAGTTGAAGAATTTTTGCGATTTGCCGAACACAATGGCACCAAGGTTAATGGAAAATTGTATTGTCCATGCGTTAACTGCGTTAATGGGAGAGTACACACACTAGAGACAATACGGGAACATCTTTTATGTGATGGGATAATGAAGAATTATATGGTATGGACATGGCATGGTGAAGTGATTGATACACCAATAGTAACACAAGTTGAGGAAGAGGAGGACATGACAATGGAAGATCGAATAGAAGACATGATTCGTGATGTAGGTCAAGAGAATTTTCTGCAAGCACATGCTGCTGTCTATGATAAATTGAAGATAGATTCAGAGATACCTTTGTATGCTGGATGTACAACATTCACGCGATTGTCAGCTGTATTGAGATTGGTCAATTTGAAGGCCAAATTTGGTTGGAGTGACAAAAGTTTCACTGAGTTACTAGAAGTTTTGAAAGATATGCTCCCAAGCGATAACACCTTGCCTGATGGTATGTATGAAGCCAAAAAAATACTTTGTCCAATGGGTTTAGAGTATAAAAAGATACATGCTTGCCCTAATGATTGTGTATTATACAGAAAAGAGTTTGAAAGCCTACATGAGTGTCCAAGATGTGGTGTATCGCGTTACAAATTGAAAGACAAGGATGATAATAGCGAATATATTGATAGAAAGAGACCTCCTGCAAAAGTTATATGGTATCTTCCAATTATTCCAAGATTGAAGCGATTGTTTGCCAATGGAGAAGATGCCAAGAATATGATATGGCATTCAACTGCAGAAAAACGTGATGGATTGCTTCGTCATCCGGCCGATTCTCCACAGTGGAAGAAAATTGACTGCCTTTTTCCAAGTTTTGGCAGTGATGCAAGAAATGTTAGACTTGGACTAGCCACAGACGGCATGAATCCTTTTGGTAACTTAACCAGTAATCACAGCTCATGGCCAGTTCTTTTAGTGATTTACAACCTTCCACAATGGTTGATTTTCAAGCGCAAGTACGTGATGTTATCCATCATGATTGCAGGTCCAAGACAGCCGGGTAATGACATAGATGTTTATCTAAGTCCGTTAATAGATGACTTAAGGCTATTGTGGGAGGAAGGAGTGGATGTGTTTGATGCATATCAACAGCAGAGCTTCAAGTTACATGCAATGTTATTTTGTACTATCAATGACTTCCCAGCATATGGAAACTTGAGTGGGTATAGTGTCAAGGGTCATCATGCTTGTCCTATTTGTGAGGAAGATACAAGTTTTCTACAATTGAAGCATGGAAAAAAGACTGTGTATAATAGGCACAGAAAATTTCTTCCACATAACCACCCATATCGAAGATTGAAGAAAGCTTTTAATGGTCAGCAGGAAGATAAAATTGCCAAACAACCTTTAACTGGTGAACAAGTTTATGAACGGGTTAGAAACATTAATGTTGTCTTTGGAAAGACTAAAAACAAGTCGTTCGATAAAAGCTTGTGGAAAAAGAGATCATTTTTCTTTAACCTTCCATATTGGAGACATCTAGATGTGAGACATTGCATTGATTTTATGCATGTGGAGAAGAACGTATTTGATAGTCTCATTGGCACACTATTGAACATTAAAGGAAAAACAAAGGATGGAGTCAAAGCTCGTCTAGATCTATGTGAATTGGGAATACGTCCAGAATTACATCCAAGACCTGAAGGCAAGAGAACATATTTACCACCAGCTTGTCACACATTGTCAAAGAAGGAGAAGACTAGTTTATGTCAGTGTCTTCACAGTATTAAAGTGCCACAAGGATACTCTTCAAATATTAAGAGCCTTGTGTCCATGAAAGATCTGAAACTAGTTGGGTTAAAGTCGCATGATTGTCACGTTTTGATGCAACAACTCTTACCCGTAGCTATACGTGACATATTGCCAAAGAATCTACGACATGCCATTATGCGTCTTTGTTTCTTCTTCAATGCTATATGTGCAAAAGTAGTTGATGAAAAATCATTGGATCAGTTGGAAAATGAAGCTGTGGTTATATTATGTCAGTTGGAGATGTATTTTCCTCCATCATTTTTTGACATTATGGTGCACTTAATAGTTCATCTTGTAAGAGAGATAAGACTGTGTGGTCCGATTTATTTGAGGTGGATGTACCCAATTGAGCGATGTATGAAGATCTTTAAAGGGTATACAAAGAATCCATATAGACCTGAAGCTTCTATTGTTGAAAGGTATATTGCAGAAGAAGCTATAGAATTTTGTTCTGAATATTTAGGAAAGGCCCTAGCAGTGGGTGTACCTACTCAACGACATGATCATAGAATAAATGGTAAGGGCACTCGTGGGGTCAAAATACAATCAAAAAATGCTAGTGAGTTGACCAGGGCACACTTGTATATTCTAAACAACACAGATGAAGTTCTTCCTTACATATCTGCTCATCAATCAATATTGAAGACCCTCAACCCCAAAATGAGTGAGCGGTGGTTGGTTAATGAACATAATAATACTTTTGTTAGCTAGTTTAAAACAAAAATCTTTTCCGAGGACAATGCATCTGATACTTTGAAATGGCTAGCACATGGTCCTAAACAGAACGTCGTGACTTGGACTGGGTATGACATTAACAAATACTCATTCTACACAAAGTTACAAGATGAAAACAGTACAGTCCAAAAATAGTGGAGTATCTATTGAGGCGACATCCATGCACTTTTCTAGTTCAAAGGATAAGAACCCAATTATGGCGTCTATGAGTTACTTTGGAGTGATTGAGGAGATTTGGGAGGTTGACTACATTCAATTCAGAGTTCCTATATTCAAATGTAAATGGATTGATATTAATACTGGTGTTCAAACTGATGAAATGGGATTCACTTTGATAGACCTTAAGAAGATAGGACATAAGGAGGAACCATTCATAATGGCGTACCATGCAAAACAAGTTTTCTATGTAACTGATCCATGTAATGACAGATGGTCAGTGGTACTCCAAGCAAAAGGGAATGATGTTATGCATGAAGAAGATGATGAATTAGATGATATTATTAACATCCCCACTCCATCACGGATGCCTAGTAGTATTGATGATATGCAAGAAGATTTGGTCCATGCTATTCATAAAGATCATGATGAAGGCATATGGGAAAACTTAACTATTTAAGTTATGTGTTCATAGCTATTTTGTGTTTATATTTAAAAAATGTGATAAATTGTGTTTATATTTCAAATATGTGATAAATTGTGTTTATATTTCAAATATGTGATAAATTGTGTTTATATTCCAATTTATGCAAAAACTTAACTTAATTTTTTTTTTTAACAGGCAAATGGCATCTCCTCCACCATCTCCTCGAGCATCTCGCGCCACATCTCCTCCGGCATGTCCACCCCCCCCCATGTGTAAAGAGGACTCGACAAGCCACACGGTCTGAAAAAGTTGACTGTTCGTCATATGGCAGGAGATAAATTGGTTGTGAGTGTGGATCCACAGACTGGCAAAATATCAGGGCCACATCACACTCAATTTAGGTCCTACTTGGGTACTCTTGCTAGAGAAAAGGTATG